AGTCAGCATTTATTTTTGATATGACTGATCAGGATGAGTGTGTTTACACTCATGGTAATTAATGAATATCTTATTTCGGCATGATTTAACAGAAATGCCAGTAGGTTCATGGCAAACACTTTTTATCATCCTCTTTATCTCTAGATATTAAATTAAGGCAGGTAATAGGCCAATACCATATTCTGGAATTCACAAAACCCACAGATCTGGATGAGACATACTACTAACATCCTTCTTTTTTTTTTTTTTTTTTCTTTCTTTCTTTCTTCTTTTTTTTAATTTTTTTTTTATTTTTTATTCCCTGAAATGTTTTGTTCAGTTTGTGGGTTTTCAGTACTTAAGAATCAAAACCAAAAGTCATAATTTGAGGGGTTTGAGACTTGGGGTTACTTTCTCTGCCCTCCTAAGACGACTGCAATATAACATGCTAACATTGCCATGACTCTTGCCAAGTGCTTGCATCCGTGTATTGCTCTGGGAGCAGCACTGCCCCATCTCTCTCTGACCAGTAGAGAGCAGGCTTGCAGCTACAGCTTTTTGCTTTCCATCTTGTCTCCAGCAACCTGTCACCTCTGCAGCTAACAATGCTTCTGCATTCTTTGTTGTTGTCAGTGTAATGTGTGTACCTTCACTCTTTTACTGATCAGTTCAGCCTCTAGAATTATGAAGTTAAAAAAAGAAAAAAAAATAAATGAACAGGCCAATACGTATGGATGTCTTCTGGTATTTCAGAAGTGTTGCAACAACTAAAATATTAAGAAAGTACAAATAAAATACGTATTTATTCTTACAGTTAAGTCCTAAATCTCATTTATTCTCTATGTATCAAAAATTAACTAATTCATTTTAAAAATAACTCCTGTTAAAGCGAAAGATTTGATGTTGGAAAGAAGACAACACTAGATTTAGAACAGTGATTGGACAATAACCAAGCAGACAAATATACCTCAAGTAGTTTTTTTATTTGTGAAGTCAAGGGTATATTCAGCAAAATTATTCTCAAATATAAATGAAATAAAGAATAAGGCTACTTATGATGTAAAGATTTACATAAACATTTCTTTAAAAAAAGGTTTGCTTTACATGTGTATTCATATAAATAATGTATAGGAATATCCAATACATGATATGTATGTACACATAGTGACAGTAAAGTGCATATTTGCAAAACCACATAGCATAGCAGATAGAGCAGGTAAAGTCATCTTTCACTGCTTCCACTGGCACTAAGAAGCTGCCTTATTTTCAGATACTTTTTGTCTTCTTCGAAATATAAGGAAAGCACACAGAAAATAGGTGAAATATGTAATCTCCATCTTTCTGTCTAATGGAGAATTATTTTTTCCAACTTCAGTCTGCTATGAAGCTTGGCATTTTGTTTCTTAGAGTGGGGGAGGGAGGAGTGGGGCTTTACTCTGCATCCATTAACAGCTAGGAGGAATGGAGGATGTCTTCAGCAAATCAGCATGCTTGCACTAGCAACGTTGTTCTGAAGAAACATATTGTATGCGCTCTTCCACTCTCTGTTTAGTCAGACCACTTATGCCAACCTTTTGAGAAGGTTTATGGTTGTAGGTGTGAGCCACTGACTCAAAGAGCAGCTAGCAATGCTTTGCAGCTTTAAGATCAACCTCTGTTCGAGCAGTGGCATTGGTGCGGCACCTTTCAGATCAACTCTTTCCAGCACTGTTTATTAACACATCTTGTAGCAGTACAACACAATGTTCAATTTGTCATTCAGACAAGCATGGAATACGAATGAGTCACTGCTGAATAGGAAACTTAATCAAATGCGCAAGCCAGACAGGTTGTGGTTGATGTGTAATGTGGTTTTAACTGATAAAGCGGTACAAGCTGTCACTGTGTTCTTTAATATTTTGACATGCCTCTGATCAGAGTACTTTGTGTTTGATCTTGCACTGGATCAGCAAACCCTGTTAGAGTTTAATACACAGGAGAACTAAAGTCAGCTTTAAAAAGTTTGCCACATAGGAGGTTGTGAAGGAAAGTTCATTTAAAAATTAGAGGGGCTGTGTTTCGTGTATAACATGTGTGATGTCATTTTGCCTTCCCCATCATCAGGGCATAAAAACAAGCATATATAGTGTGATGCTAAGCAAGGTACTAGCTTAAACTAGATGTTACATTGTGGATTTAACTAAAGGCTCTTTCAAATGGTATTAGTAATCATGTGCTAAGTGGGAAAAGCAGATCCAAGAAGCAAATCGTCTTTCTTCATCGGTTTAATAGAGCTGTCATAAATGCACACCTGGATCTGTGCCTGTGGAGTTTTTTGAAGTGATTAAAAGGTTAAAAAGATTAAAATAGTGGTTCAATTTGCTTAGGGGTGTTTACATTTTCTCTCTTGAGCAGCTCTGTTCAAGTCTTGATGCCACAGTACCAGCCTCCATTCTCTTCTCTCCCCAAGCCTCCCAAAATGACTGGAAGGTCTCTAAAGGTCACTTGCTGTTCCTGGAACAGACCAGGCCACAGCATTCTCAATGCCTTTGGCCACAAAATGGTAGTCTTTCCCACTCAGTAGCTGAAACACAAAGTTTGGGCTTGGCTTGCTATGGTTCTTTTTCCAGTTATCTCCCACACTCTCAGAGCTTGTTACTTAAACTTCCTATTTGATTGCCTTTGAAATGGACATATTCATCTTCTTTACAGGGTAAGCCAAATCTGTGGTTGGGGTGATGAGGTGCTGACAGCTAGGGAGAGAATCAAAGTGAGAATGCAGCCAAACAAAGTCATTCCTAGAGAGTCTGTTAGGCCCCCAAGAGAAGTTGTTGCTTGCTCTTGTGGGCAGAGTATTATACCTTCTCCTTCATAACTGTAGCAATGTCCATCTTAAAAAATGAGAATCAGTGGAATAAAAAGTCTATTAGAAGGTTGTCATCAAATTTAATTTCTCCGAGTATCTGGAATTACAATAATTTCTACCTTTGATATATCCATGGTTAGATGCAATAATTTGGTTTTGTGTCAACATTATCCGTTAACAACTGTTCACCTTCCTATCTGTCTGTTCTGCACTGTTTTATAAAGGGTAGTTTTAGTATGTCTCAGGTCTTATATTGATAAGCTCAGCTCTTTATTTCCTTCATAGCAGAAATACTCATATTTTTTTGACTACTTGAAGTTTGTGTAAGTTTGAATTCCTCTTCCAGAAGTATGTTCACCAAAATGACACAAATTGTTCCAGGTGAGATCTTACTAGTGCCCTATAGGACATCATTAAAATTACCCTTTTTCTTTTCTGGAAATCTTGAACTGAAATATATTTTTAAATTTCTTTTGTCTCTTTTCACAGCTATTCACAATCCACATTATTGGTTTGTGGCTGTCCTGTGTCAAACAGCTCTAGATTCTCTTATTATCTTCAGAACGTGAACTTCCATATTTGTAGAAGTTTTTATTGCTATCTTAAACATTGTAATCTTAAACTCCTTGAACTACTTCTTAAACTTATTGGATTCACTCTCTTTTTTCTGTGCAAGCCAATCCTATTTTGTATTTGCAGAGACTTCCAACTTCTGTTGTCACACAGATTAAATTTTCTCCTCTTATATTTTGTGCCATAGTCTTTTCATGAAGATATTAAACCAAGACTCATCCTTGATTAACTCAAGTAATAACATCCTACTAGCCCAGCAGTGCCTCTTTCAGTATAAGCCTGTTGTCTGCATTCCATTAGTCACTTCCCCATTAAACTCACTTTATCACTCGAATGATAAATTCTTCTGTTATAATCTTTCAGATGTTTACTGCAATACAGATAAATTAATTCAACCATGTTTTCCTTGGGGTAAAAATAAAAATCAATCATCTTTAAAAGAAGGTGCTCATCTGAGCTGGTTCACTTTGCCCATCTGATCTATAGCCTGGTAAATTAGCTTCTCTCTTGAAATGCTTAGGAAGGAGTTCCAATTTCACTGACATTACAAACTCCCAAAATAAGGGTTACTATTGCTTGCAGTTCTTAATTTATGAGAATTATTGCCATAAAGAAGCTTACTGTTGGCCAGGTCTGCAGCTGTGCCTGCCCCTTTTATCTAGTTAGTAGGAATTGTGTGTGGAGCGAGTAGCAGGTGGCCTTCCTTCCTGCCTCAAATAGGGGCCAGAGTGACAAATCATGGTGCAGTCAGAAGAGAGACAGCTAAAGATTCAAGCTCAAGAAAAAGAAATTGCATTTTTCTCCAAAGTGGCATACAGTTCAGCTTTCCCTTCTCCTGCTGGAGTAAACTGGAGTTCTGGCCCTTATGAATAGTGACCTTTTTTATTAGCAATGTATGTTTTTAACCATCTCTCTTTACCAAACCCATTAAATGCTGTAAGCTGACCCATTCCATTTTTCAGTCAATTATGTAGATTACAGAGGCATATCTGTAATAAACACAGGAAGTACAGCACTCAAACTTCTTAGAACTCCCTCTTCTGATGTTTCATAATGTTTCATTATTTGCTTGTTTGTTTCTATGCAGTATTACAAACTTTTCTTCAGTACCCCACTTCACTGTAGAAAACATGTTCTGTAAAACTTTGCCATAAACTGTTACAATTTTTGAAGCAAAGTTTATGTTCCTTATTGAGAGCAGTGCATTTTTTCTTCTTTTTTTTGGTCAAAACACAAAGCAAAAAGTTCTGGATTGTGCTACTGAACCCATAAAGAAAATGAAAATTAGATGTTAACTTTGCCTCCTCACTTTTTATTCTGCTTCTTGGAAATTCCCCTTCTGACACCCAGTGTTGCCCCAGAGTAACTCTTGAGTCAGTGAAGAAAACTCGGACTTTGCTCATTATCAAGCAGCAATTTCCAGCTGCAGAAATGTGGCCTTTTTTGATTGGGGTTAACAACATTTGTACAATGAGAGCTTTGTAAACAGGTAAACTTAAGTGCTTCTTGTTCCCTTTGTTTCCACCTCAGTCCATTAACTTTCTGTCTTGTCTTTCTTGGATGGCAGAAGTCCTGATCCAATTGAACTTTAATATGGAATAGTCCAATGCTGTTAAATGTGCCATATTCTTTCAGTATGTTCTTGATAATAACATGATCTCACATTATGCAATAAGCAGCTTTCCATCTGGGCTACAATAACATGGATTCAAACAACATGTAATCTGATGTTTTGGTTATCGCTCCTTCCTGGGATGTGTAGGTAAAGTTAAAAATTTAGCACACCTGAGTGTTTATGTATCTGTTGGTCATCTAGACTTTACCAAATCTTTCTGGCTTTCTTGAAGTTTTCATAATGGGATGATACATTAAGAAGACAGTAAAATAATCTCAAGCACAGAAGGAGTTCTCTGAACACAGAATCATAGAATCATAGAATAGTTAGAGTTGGAAAGGACCTTAAGATCATCTAGTTCCAGCCCCCCTGCCATGAGCAGGGACACCTTGCACTAAACTATGTCGCCCAAGGCTCTTTCCAACCTGGCCTTGAACACCGCCAGGGATGGGCTCCAACTTCCTTCGGCAACCCATTTCAGTGCCTCACCACCCTCACTGTAAAGAACTTCTTCCTTATATCTAATCTAAACTTCCCCTGTTTAAGTTTAAACCCATTACCCCTTGCCCTACCACTGCAGTCCCTAACGAAGAGTTCCTCCCCAACATCCTTATAGGACCCTTTCAGATACTGGAAGACTGCTATGAGGTCTCCACGCAGTCTTCTCCAGGCTGAACAGCCCCAACTTTCTCAGCCTGTCACCAAGCATGGCATAGCTTTGAAGATGGTATTTTGGGTTTTGTGTGCTTCCTTATGCAGATTCAGATTTATCTGGGAGAAAGGATCAAAAGAACAAAGGGAATGCAAAAGACACTTAAGGAACCATCACCCCCGCCTTGCTTTACAGGGGAGCATTTGACCTTAGCCAACAAACCTGATGTTCCAGACCTTCAAGTTGAGACTAAATCATCCTTATGAGCAGTCTTCTCTCTTAAACCTTTGCGAACTGTAGATTTCTGGGGCCTTCATAGTTATAACAGCCACATGGATGTATTATAGCAACATGTCTAAGACAAAATTAATGACCTAATGTCTTAATGAAAGACTTTTGAAGCAAATTACTTGAAGGTTCTAAGTTCTTCAGTTTTTGGCTAGTGCTAAAATACAGTTAATGCCATTTAATTAACACACTAAGGCCATAAGATTTTGACT